AACCATGAGAAACTATGGACTCTGAGAAACAAACTGAGGGTTCTAGAGGGGAGGGGGGTGGGGGAATGGGTTAGCCTGGTGATGGGTATTAAAGAGGGTGCTTATTGAATGGAGCACTGGGTTTTTATACTCAAACAATGAATCATGGAACACTACATCAAAAACTAATGATGTAATGTATGGTGATTAACATAACATAATAATAATAAAAAAAGACTGACATTACCAAGTGTTTATGAGGATATGGAACAACTGGAAATGAAATCTCTTACATTAATATGGGGATCAAAACTGTACAACTGCACTGGAAAAATACTTGGCAGTTTTTACTAATGTTAAGCACACTTTTATACTCTATGACACAACAGTTCCATTCCTGGGTATATACCCAATAGAAACGAGTGCTTAAGTCCACCAAAAGAGGTAAAAGAATATTCATAGTAGCTTTATCCATAATAGCCTCAAACTAAAAATAACCAAAATGTCTATCAACAGTAAGAAGGACAAATAACTTGGAATACATAAGAGAAATGAAAAATAGTGAACTACCAATATATGCAACAGCATGAATGAATCGGACAGACATAATGTTGAGTGAAATAAATCTGACACAAAAGAGCACATGCTGTATAATTCAGTATTCATAAATTTCAAATCAGGCAAAACCTATAGTTGGTGATAGAAGTCAGAGTGGTGATTATTCTTGGAGGACGTACTAATCAGGAGGATACCACATGGGATGCTGGAAATGTTCTATGTTGTAATATGGGTGGTGGTTAGAAGGATATATGTATGTATGTAACAATTCAAGCTGTACATAATATTTCTATATTTTTACTTTATGTTGGTTATTTCTCAATTTAAAATAAATATTAAGAAAACAGTAATAGATAACTAGATCAGTAAAGCAGAATATATAATCCAGAAATATACTCATGTAATAGAGATTTTGGTTTATAATAAAGGTGACATTCCTTTCCTTTTCTGTCTCTAAAGTTGCCATTTGGATACAGTTCTTGGCACCATGGTAGTGATCTTGAGACCTCAATGGGGACCAGCCTACAAGGACAAGCAAGCAGGCCAAGGAGGGCAGAAAAGAAGATGGAAAGAACCTGAATCCCTTGAGAATATCAGTGCACCCCAGAATTAGCCATCTCTGGAAAGTCTTACTTCTGAGTTTCTTGTTATTTGAGATTTTTAAAAATCTACTTTTAACTGGATTTTAAAAGTATCTTAACAGAGAATCAGTTAGGAAGTCATTGAAATAATTCATGGGAGACCTCCACCTTTCCAGGCCGAGCAGCTTCAGCACATCAGCTCCTCAGGGAGCCACAGACTTTCAGAATAAGCTCTCAGAAGCTTACTCCCACCATGGGGCTTGAGTCCCTGGAACAAGGGGCATCACTCACCTGTCCGGTCAACATCCTTTTTCATGGGCAGTACAGTATAATCTGGTTGCTCGTCTGAGACCTCAAACATCCACGGCTTGGGCTGTCTCATGGAATGGGGCTCTTTCTGGGGACTCCCCCTGCCTCCAACCCAGTCCCCTGACCCGTCTCGGAGCTGAAACTGCTGTAGGTACGGGATCCGGAAAATCCTGTTTTGGTCCAGGCTTAACTTCTTCAGTCTTCAATTAAGGAAAGTGAATACAGAATCACAGCAATAATGATACCTCAGCGGCATTTACCAAACAACTTTAGGGAAAGAACATGGATTCAGGCTTGGACACTTACTCTTCTGGTGTGACCTTGAGCCAGCGACTTACCCTCTCTGGGCCTCAATATCCCTATCTCTAAAATGGGGATAATATTCATTAACCTTTCAAGGTTCCTATGGAGATTAATAAGACGATATAAATGGCCCAGCACAAAGTAGTATTCAGTAAATGGCAGTTGAATCCAAAGTAAATTTTCCAGGGATCTAAAGCTTAACCATTTAAATGCCAGCATTTTCATTACTTTAATCAAATAGGTAGAATTCAGCAGTTAACCTTATCTTTCTGATTCCAATTTTTTTTTCTGTCCCCTCTATCAGGGGTCAGGAGCCTATCTCTGGTAATATCTCCTTTTACCCTCCTTTCTCTTTGCCACTTCTAATACAGTCACTTGATCAGAAATGTTCTACTGATGCCCTACTTTTATGGCTGAGCTAAAGCTCAGAGGGGAGAAGTTAATCACCCATGGCCACACAGCAGAGATAAGTGGTGGAGCTGGGATTTAAACCCAGGCCTTCTGGATTCCAGAGCAGCACGAGGGTGTGGGCCAGGCTCGGGGTGGTAGGGGGCCCTGCAGAGAGATGGTGGCTTTACCTTCTGAGCCCGGCCAGGCTGGCAAAGCAATTGGGGCTGGAGAGCTTGTTGTCATCCAGCATCAGTGTCTCCAGCGCTGGGAACCTCAGGATGTACCTCCTGCTTGTCAGTGACGTTACAGATGTTTCCCTGTGAGTGCAAGGATCCTGGGTAATGAGCAAGGGCGGGGGACAAACTCCACCATCCCCAGGAAGTAGGAATGGGGATAGGAATAGAGATGGAGGACAGGGAATCAATCAAGAGGCATAACCAGCTTGGGAACTTCTCTAGTGCCCCTGAGATGTCCCTGCAGAGAGGGACCAAAAGGTCCCTCCCCAACTGATCCCTTCCCCGAATCCCACTCATACATCAGTCTTCTGTATGGAGAAAGGCTGCACACATTCACAGATGGACTCAGTGAGATGGGGTTGGGGCAGGATGGGGGGCACTAGTAATGCTCACGGAAAATACCAGAATGAATGAGGCATGACCAAGTTGAGGGAAAACATTCTGCAGAAAGAATACTGTACAATTTTGGGTCAGGTCAGACTCCTGGGTATGCTGCATCACCCCAAGGATTGGTAACCATAGGAGCATCAGGAGACAGAGCCCTTGGCAGGGACCACAGCTTTGATTCATGTGGGGTAAGGCAGGCTGGCCGCAGTGAGGCTCTCCTCTAAAGAGACTTAATAAAATGCACACATCAGTACGGAGTTGAGAATTCTCTTTTAAAACTCAAACTCTCTGGGGAGTCCCAGAAACACCTGAGAGTGGAATTTAATGGGCTGAGATCCTGAATCACACAGGTGGCGCAGGAAGTGGTGGCATTTTAGGTACTACCATTAACGTGGCCTCATTTATGTGCCCAGGGGGATGAGACCTAGGTAATTCTTTATTTTTTTCAACCTTTTTTTTTTTAAGATTTTGTATTTTTAAGTAATCTCTACACCCAACATGGGACTCGAACCTACAACCCCAAGATTAAGAGTCACATGCTCTACCAGTTGAGCCAGTCAGGTGCCCCTAGGTAATTCTTTTTAAGTACACAAAGGCAGATGACTCAAATCATGTTTTCATTCCTCCCTCCAACTCTCTCCCCTCCATATGCCCAAATAAACACTCAACACACTCAACCGAGAAGGAAAGAAGAATCCTTTAGTTCATGGTATTTGAAGGTCACAGATGATTCTTTTCCTCTCCTGAAAGGACCAATTTTCATGCACTAAATTTTTAATTTCTACCTGAGAGGAATTACAGGAGGGTGCACAGCAGCTCTGTTGATTTATAATTAATTGACCAACCTTTTTACTCCAGTCAGATATGAAAGAGCTAAAAAATAAGCCTTCAAAAAATTCCTCTTATACCCGATAATGGAGAAGCTGGCTCTGTCCTGTCTCTTGTGACAAGTTACAGTGTTTTGCCTTTTAAAAGCTTCACCCTAATTATAACATATAAAAAGCTTCATTTTGTCTCTAAAACAGATGTCTTAAAATAGGGGGGCAGTCAATAGGTGGGTAAGGAGGACAAGATGCAAGGCTTCAGAGGAAAGCATCAGGCTCTCCCACTGGGTCCTTCCCAGGGCAGTTTTGGGAGAAGAGCTCTTTGAAGTGGCAGGAGTCTATTAGTATGGAGAGGCCGAGGTTTCCAGGTGTTCAGAGTGGTGCTATTTTTATCATACCTTCTCTTGGCAAAAGGAATTAATACCATTTAAAAATAAGAGATTTGACTGATTTGTTTAGAAGCTAAGAGTATGCCCCAGTGACTGGATTCAGGAATGGGAACTGGTGTGCCGTATTAGAAGAAGCTTGGGAATGCGGGTCAGCAGCCCTGGGCTCTGGTTCTGGTGCTGCTGCTGCTTGGCTTGCTGGGTGACTTCTAGCTGGTGTTGAGCATCTCTGGTGCTGGTCAGTTCCTCTATCTACACGATGAAAGAGGATTTCTTTTATTTTACATTGTAAGACTTCGCATGAGGCTAAAAATATTTCTGACCAGGCTGGACAAAGAGCTGCAGTAAAACAGATGAAATTTAGCAAGCTCTAATGTCCATGAAAATGTTAGGTCAGCTTCTGTGATAAGATACAGAAAACCCACCACGTAAACACAGGAAAAGGGAGATGGACGTAGCTTCCCAACTCACTTGTGTAAAAGAGGACTTATGATGTGGCTGCTAAAAAAGCTGGCGCTCCTTTAGGTGACATTTTGAGGAAAACAGTAGTTAGAAAAAAGAAGGTAACCATCCCCCTCTGCTCTGTGCAGGTCAAGCCTGAGAGGGGGGACTTGTGCGGTCCAAGGGGGGCAGGGAATAGGCCTCATGGGAGACCCAAAGTCTCAGATGCAGATCCAAACAAGTAATAGGGCAGGCTGATGATGGAGTAGGTCAGATATGATCCCCCTAACTCACCCAGACATAATCATGTGATCTATCCAGAAATGGAGACACAAATAGTTCAGAATAGATGAGGTATGTGGTGAAATGGAAAAAAGTGAAGAGAAAGGAGGATGCAGAAGCAGGCAGAGTCAGGTCATGAAAAGCCTTGCGATCAATGTTAATGGTGTTTATCTTTAGAACGCCGGGAAGCTGCTGAAGGACTTTAAGCAGGGCAGTGATAGAATCAGAGGCGCCTTTTAGAAACATCCCTCTGGCTAATGGTAAAGAGGGTGGGTTGGGAGGTGATAAGGAGAAAGAAAAATGTGACAGGTCCTTAGCTGTATCCCAAGTAGCAGGGGCTGTGTTGATGGGCTACAGCCAGATTAAATGGGAGGGAACAGAAAGGGCCAAGTTTGAGAAACATTTAGGAAGCACAATTCATAGCCTCTGGTGACTGAATGGATGTGCAGGGTGAGGGAGGGAAGAATACAGGCTGATGCCCACATTTCTCACTTGGACAACTGCACAGTTGATGGACAGTAGCTCCCATCACTGAGGCCAGGGACACAGGAGGAAGAGATCTCGGCATGGGCCTGTGTGTGATGACCTTGGTATGATTAAGTGAAATATACGGGCTCATAGTTCAGAAGAGGGATGTGAAGTAGAGATATAAAGAAGACTTGGGAAAGGATGAGACCATGAAGAAAGATTATAAAAATTAAGAAAAACAGTGGGTTGAGAGTGGACAACTGAGGACTATCAACATTGAAGAGGCTGCCGAAGAAGAGGAATCCACAGAGCATTTTGAGTGTGGACACACAAGTGGGAAACAGTAATACTTGTTTGGAGCCTCACAGCTTTCAAAGCACAATTATTTCAACTGATACTCTGATGTAAGTAGGAGTACATTTATTCTCCCCATCTTATATATAAGGAAATAGAAATACCTAGTGGTGGAGCCTTGCCTTACTTTATGCAACAAGGCTTCCCACTGAAAACAACTAAAATGATGAATAAAACCTAAAAAGAAAAAAGATTCATTTAAAAACACGCAAGAGATGTGAAGACAGTAAAGCAGTAGTATGCCAAAATCTAAAAATCCAGAGACAGAAACGGAGCATAAGAAGCCACATTTGCCTTTCAGACACTTGCTGATCTTGTTGAAACAGCATGTAATTGGAGACCCCCTACACCAATGTAGGATCCTAAAGAGATATACACTCAGGAGAGCGAGAACTAGCACTAAACCCATGCTCCTCATCCCACAGCTAGGGGAAAACTGCCTTGGAATGAAAAGAAGGGAAGGGGGAGGGCAGATTGGTCCTCTTGCAAAATTGTAGCCCAAATTTGTATCATCTGAGTGGCTCAGAGAATATCCAGGCTAGTTTAGTTTAGTTTAAAATGGTTCCATACTGAGTGCCCCTAGGCACCTGGCCAAAATAAATGGAAAGGTTTATGGTATTGCAGACTAAATAATGTGGGCTAACTCTCCCTTGAGTATATGCTAGAAAATCCAGACAAAATATATATATTAAAAACAATTTTCTTTAAGGCATCTGTGAACTAACAAGCTGTGAGAAATTAGGGGGCTAAGATTTGGAAAAAGAAGGAAATCAAAGGGGATCTTGCAACACTTGGGGTCTCTTTTCCCCTAGGGCTATCCGCTAACTCCAGAAGTGGCAGAGAGGCTGAGATGCTGAGCAGAGATTCTGACAACCTTGCTAGTCTAGGGGCCAAGAGTCCAGGGTGCACCAGAGAAGGGGATTCCTGATAAACTTGCTTTAGGTTAGGGCACTGAAGGACTAAATCCTAGGGGGAGGTGTGACCTAGAAACAGTGTGGTCCTTGCAGAGACTGAAGACTAGCTTCAAATAATTATGTGTGAACCATACAATCAAAAAAAAAAAAAATCTAGAGCTGGTGAGAATAAAAATGATTTGAGTTGCCCAAAGGGAGAGTCACAGCCTCTCACTCAGTTTCCTATTTACATTTAAATTAAAAACAATTAAACTTAAATAAAAGTAAAAATTCAGTTCTTCAGTCACACTGATCATATTTCAAGTGCTTAATATGACTGATGGCTACCATATCGGACAATGCAGATATAGAACACTGCCAACGTTGCAGAAAATTCTATCAGACAGTCCGAAACCAGGCCTTTCAAGGATTCCTAGACAGTATCTGCAAATCGGTGCTGATGGCTGGGGATATGAAAGGTATGGTGGTCTACCACTCAAAGTAGGGGATTATGGAAGAATGGAAATTTAGCCTATGAATATACCCAGTGAAGTCATCAACCTACTTTGTGGTTATCTCCCCAGTTCCTGAAGATATAATTAGAATAGACATACTAAGCAACTGACAGAAGAAACACCTTTGTTTACTAACCAACAAAGTGAGGGCCATTACAGAAGGAAGGGACAAATTGAAACCCCAGGAAATCTGCTTCTAGAACAGTAAGACTACAGTTATTCCACATCCCTGAGGTAACTACAGAGACTACTGCCATCACTAAAGATAAGAACAGTAAAAAGATATTGAGTCTTATGATATTCCTGCTTAACTTGTTTATTTGGCTTGCGTAGAAGACAGATCATGATGAATGACTACAGATTACTGGAGACTCAGTCAAGTGGTGACTCCAATTTCAGCTGCTGCCCCACATGTGGACTCTTCTTACTACAGTACATTAACACAGCCCCTGGCACTTGGGATACAGCTAAGGACCCATCAAATGTTTCTTTCTCTTTATCGATGAACAAGAACTGTCAGAAGCAGTCTGC